GAGGAGGCACACAGCAGGAGCGCCCAAATGAAAGCAATTAAAAGAGCCCTGTGTAATAGAAATGCATAGCAATAGGATGGAAAGGTGGGCTAGTTGGTAATTCATTATGGTTCAGCGAACTGGGAGCGCGGGTGTAAACACAGACACTAAGCAAAGAGGAGGCACACAGCAGGAGCGCCCAAATGAAAGCAATTAAAAGAGCCCTGTGTAATAGAAATGCATAGCAATAGGATGGAAAGGTGGGCTAGTTGGTAATTCATTATGGTTCAGCGAACTGGGAGCGCGGGTGTGAACACAGACACAAAGCAAAGAGGAGGCACACAGCAGGAGCGCCCAAATGAAAGCAATTAAAAGAGCCCTGTGTAATAGAAATGCATAGCAATAGGATGGAAAGGTGGCTAGTTGTTAATTCGACGTTCCATTTCATACACACTACTGCCAGACGTTCCGGACACAGAAGCGGTTTTCTGCAAAATTTTGTGCAATATCACAAGCATAGTGGCGGGTTGCATTTATCGTAGCCCATCCTCTGGTTCGAAATGCATAGTTTCCATCCACAATTTTCTTCAGCAGCATGTCCATAGCTCTGCAGTCGTGATAATGGGTGATTTTAACCTTGCTGACATAAACTGGAGTACCATGCACCACACCTCACAGGGATCAGATGATTTATTTGATTTAATGTTAAATTTCAACCTCCATCAAATTGTTTCATGCCCAACTCGTGTTCAAGGAACAGCCTCAAGTGTACTAGATTTAATACTTATTAGTAGTCACCTTAGCCATGTGGACACTCAAGTTGATGTTGTAGAGGGCATTTCAGACCACAGAGTGCCTGTTTGCCGGTTAACATTTGATGACAGATTACACCTGCAATCAACAGCAAACCATGTCCCAGACTTCAGTAAAGCAGACGACGCCAGCGTACTAACTTATTTAGCCCATGAGTTTTACGAGTTTGTGGAATTGAACTGTGATCCCGCCACAACTGTAAATGACCTTTGGCTAAGGTTCAAGCACATTGTTCTGCACTGCATGAATGAATTTATACCACTGCGGCGTACACGGCCGCAAAGACATAACCCCTGGATCACAAGAGAAATTCTACACGCAAAGCGGAAAGTCAAACGACTTCGGAAAGCAGTAAAAAAACAGTGCTGCAGTGCGAATACATCAAAATTAAAAACAGCTATTTCACACTTTAAGGCCAAAACAAAGCAAGCAAAACAACATTATTTTGAAGTAACGCTACCGTCATTCATTACTGGTAACCCACAAAGGTTCTGGGAGCATTTCAGCCGTAGAAAAAACAGCAGTCCTGAACTTTCGTTGCAACAGAAAACGGCGAAATCTAATATGTACAACAACTATTTCCACTCTGTTTTTACAAAAGATGACGAGAAAATTCCACAGCTTGCACACATGAATAATATTGGAATCAGCCCTATAGATGTAGTTGATGAAGGAATATTTTCTCTTTTGCTCGACCTAGACCCAAAAAAATCTTCGGGACCAGATGACATCCCCAATCCCTTTCTTAAGCGATATGCCGAATGGTGCAGCAAATACCTTGGTATGGTTTTCCGCAAATCTCTCGCCGTAGCAAAATTCCAGACGAGTGGAAAAAAAGCTAAAATAGCACCGATTCCCAAAGCAGGAAATAGCGATAATCCTTCAAACTTTAGGCCAATATCTTTAACCAGCACGTCATGCAAAATATTAGAACATATAATTTTGAAACACTTAACCGTTCTTTTAGAAAGTAATGGCGTTTTGTCATCTTGCCAGCACGGGTTTCGCAGCGGATTATCGACTACCACGCAACTAACAGAAGTTGTTCACGATTTAGCATTATCTATTAACAACTGCACGCAAACGGATATTATACTATTAGACTTCGCAAAAGCGTTTGATTCCGTATGCCACAACAAATTAATTGCAAAACTTCGAAGTATTATTGGAGATGGAATATTAACAAATTGGGTTAAGGACTTCTTAACTAATCGTTCACAATATGTCCTGTATGACCAAGTACCATCAGAAAACTTGCCTGTTACGTCCGGAGTACCACAAGGCTCCGTTTTGGGGCCTTTGTTATTTCTTGTTTTTATTAACGATATCACAGACAGTATCTCTTGCACCATTAGGCTTTTCGCCGACGACTGCATTATTTACAAAGAAATTAACAGTCATTCAGATCACCTTGCACTAAGCGATTCTTTACACCATCTTTCCAACTGGTGCGACATGTGGCAAATGTCGATTAACCCCAAAAAAACAGTGTGCATGACGATAACCCGAAAAAAAGAAGCTATCCAGTATGACTACAGGATTTAAAGGCACCAGGCTGAAAAGTGAATGCGCACAAATATTTAGGCGTCATGATAACGTCAAGCCTCAGATGGGATACGCACATTTCTAACATTACTTCGGTTGCTCTGCGCAAGCTCTTTTATCTTCGCAGATGCCTTCGGTTGGCCCCTCACTCAACCAAGCTTTTAGCCTATACTACTTACGTAAGACCGGTATTAGAATATGCTAACACAGTATGGTTTCCTATACAGTCACTAACATTCAAAGCTAGAAAATGTACAGAGGAAGGCAGCAAGATTCATCTGCAACAAATATAAGCGCACTGATTCTCCTACAGATATGTTAGCAAGCTCTGGCCTCCAAACACTTGCGATTCGAGCGAAACAAGCGCGAACTGGGAGCGCGGGTGTAAACACAGACACAAAGCAAAGAGGAGGCACACAGCAGGAGCGCCCAAATGAAAGCAATTAAAAGAGCCCTGTGTAATAGAAATGCATAGCAATAGGATGGAAAGGTGGGCTAGTTGGTAATTCATTATGGTTCAGCGAACTGGGAGCGCGGGTGTAAACACAGACACTAAGCAAAGAGGAGGCACACAGCAGGAGCGCCCAAATGAAAGCAATTAAAAGAGCCCTGTGTAATAGAAATGCATAGCAATAGGATGGAAAGGTGGGCTAGTTGGTAATTCATTATGGTTCAGCGAACTGGGAGCGCGGGTGTAAACACAGACACTAAGCAAAGAGGAGGCACACAGCAGGAGCGCCCAAATGAAAGCAATTAAAAGAGCCCTGTGTAATAGAAATGCATAGCAATAGGATGGAAAGGTGGGCTAGTTGGTAATTCATTATGGTTCAGCGAACTGGGAGCGCGGGTGTAAACACAGACACAAAGCAAAGAGGAGGCACACAGCAGGAGCGCCCAAATGAAAGCAATTAAAAGAGCCCTGTGTAATAGAAATGCATAGCAATAGGATGGAAAGGTGGGCTAGTTGGTAATTCATTATGGTTCAGCGAACTGGGAGCGCGGGTGTAAACACAGACACTAAGCAAAGAGGAGGCACACAGCAGGAGCGCCCAAATGAAAGCAATTAAAAGAGCCCTGTGTAATAGAAATGCATAGCAATAGGATGGAAAGGTGGGCTAGTTGGTAATTCATTATGGTTCAGCGAACTGGGAGCGCGGGTGTAAACACAGACACAAAGCAAAGAGGAGGCACACAGCACGAGCGCTCGTGCTGTGTGCCTCCTCTTTGCTTTGTGTCTTTGTTTACCCCCGCGCTCCCAGTTCGCTGAACCATCATGAAAGAAAAGTCATAACTTGCCGTAGGCAGAGACCGAACCTGCGACCTTCGAATAACGCATTCGATGCTCTAACAACTGAGCTACCACGGCAGCTATATGTAGTAGGGCATCGCAAGTGTCTATAATGATTTTTAAAGGAATATTCCGAATCTATATTTTGAATGGATAACGGCGGCTCACTTTCTTAAAGTTGAGCAGCACAGGAAGTCGGCACACTCATTTTAATGCTAGGTCTGCGTGGTAAGATATCCATCCAGAGGAAATACGTAACGCATTTTAAAAGCAGTGCACGGCTTGGTGCAGAAGGTATCTCCCATTAACTTATAACAAACCTATGTGTAGCGGTACGGTTGCTTTAAGGAGCGTACAAGATGGCCCTGGTGCTTGGCGTCGCGGATCACTGAACCGATCGCCAACTCACTATCACATCGCTGTGGGAGGATGTTTTCGAATACATTTTAGAATTTACGAACGCCGAAGGTGCTGCTGCTTGCGTCAACGTATGAATGGAAGAATGGTTAGAGGAAGCTGTGTACTGTTACATTGTATTCCAATAAAAGTTTCGTGTCATAGAAACAGGAGACGAGAATAGGGAGAGAGTAAACCTTTTGACATATTTATTTATTTATTTATTTATTCGTTTATCGATTTATTAGTGCAACCTACATCGCCCAAGTGTGCATTATTGTAGGGGGGTGAGGGGAAAAAAAGCAATGGTACAGTCGAACAAAGCGCACGTTCACGCCGTCGAAAATGACTTACATTTGCGCCGCAGCTCCTGCGCATTCACAAAAAGCACAAATCTTGTAGTGACGAAGAAAAGGCATCGGGTGGAGGATCAACAACGCACGCATCCAAATCATTCTATTCGCGAATGGTAAAAGGGGGGAAAAAAAGTTGCAAAGGCACCAATACGACAGCTGACCTCACGGATTTTTTTTTTTTTTAGTGACCAATTCTATGTGACACGTTGTGTGTGTTCACTGCAACCCGGCTACCTTTAAGCGCATGTTTGTCTTCGCGCTTGAAATCGAAACGCGCTCGAAGTGGCGTATAGCTTCTCCGCCTATCCGTGCAGTGACCGCACCGAGTGAAATCTTAACTACGCGGTACCAGAGCCCACGAAACAAGTACTAGTGCGAGTGCCTTGTGCTGTCAACTTGGGAGACCAAATGAAACGAATAAGAAAGGATGTTTTTCCGCGCGTGTAGCCAACCAAGGTTGATTTAGACTCGCGAGATTTAGAGCGCGCCATCTCTGAGATTGTACGAACATCCTTGTTGTTTTTTCACACATCCACGCGCCGGCGCCACCGACTCGTGGCGAGCGGGGGTCTTGACGGCAGAAGGCAACTATGACGCACTACGTCGTTTCCGCGACCCACGCTGGGGTTTTCGCCCGCTCATTCATTGAACACGTGCAGCCGTGAGGCAAGAGTTGCAACATCGTCGCAGCCGTTGCAGCGTCTCAGTGTAACGGATGCACTGTGTTTTCGTACAAGCTACGCCACGGAAGCGTGTCGTTTCGCTTGCGTATCAGCATCGTGGGCAGACTGCATACTGCTGCGGCGACAAGTTAAACATCTGTTTACTGGAGCGACACTTCATTCGTCGTGTATGATTCGTAAGTTACTTTCTGCATTCTCACACTTCATTATTGTCGTCGTTCACGGACTTCATCTTAGAATTGTGCTAACGTCACAAAGTGCTTCCTCCCGTCCACAGAAGCTCGGCAAACATATTTATTGTGTTATACTAGCCTGACGTCTGCAATTCCCTGCACGTTTACCGCCTGAAACAGGGGTTGGTGGCGGTTGCCAAGTGTAGTGAAGTCAGCTGTTGCTGCGTGTCAAAGAAGCGCGCGTAATTTAAAACACGTACGAGTGTTTATCGACCTACTGTTTCGGAATGTTAACGGTTCCGGTGTCCCACAACATGACCGACAGATAAGGAACGCAGTCTGCTTTGGCGTGACCCATAAATTAAGGACCGGCAAGCTTTCGGTAATTTCACAGTGACAAAAAATGCGAGAATAATGCACTAAACAGGTTTTCAGATCAGATCACAATTTGTTTTATTGAGACATAATTACGAAAGATATGTACAAATACATGGACCACGCCGCTAGCAGCTGGCCCAACGTAGAATCATTACAGCGTGTTTCAAGAAATTTGTCCAATATTGTTTAAAAATTACAGAAATTAGATGTCTGCGTGCTACCTACGGCGTTCACTTTACTGTGGCAGTAAGCATCTTCAGGTGCGAACAAATATTATTACGGCAGTTATTAGGGGCGAAGCTCTCTAAGGCGTCGGTCTGTACATCCTCCGATGTTGTACGTAACCACCGGTGGCACATACCCGCTCTAGAGCGGGTATGTGCCACAGGGGATGTGAGATGGAAGATTGATTGATTGATATGTGGGGTTTAACGTCCCAAAACCACCATATGATTATGAGAGACGCCGTAGTGGAGGGCTCCGGATTTTTCGGAGATGGAAGATTACGGTACTTGAAGTGTTCACTAGATGGACTGGCGGACAGACGCCTGAACAGACGGACGGACGCCTGGATGGACGCATGGATGGTCGCACGGACGGACGGAAGCACGGAAGGACTGACGGACGCTTCGCCCACCTCATCATCATTCCCTCCGTGGACATGCTGTGATTTCTGTAGCGTTAGCTACACTGGCCTCGCTGAGCCGATTTTGCGTGGCACTGGTCTGCGCATGCGCAATGATACTCCGCCGCCGCCGCCGCGCGCGGCTCGCCGCCGGTGTGCGCGCAATTCGATGCGCTGCGCAGACGATCAGTGGTGTCATGTTCCGGAGCCGGCACCTCCCTCACACTCGGCCGCGCGCGACTCGCCGCCGCCGGTGTGCGCTTTCCAGAGGAGTGCCGTCATAGCCTTGGTATGGACGCCGACGCGCGCGCCTTCCCTGTGCAGTCGCCATCTGACACTGCGCTGGAGCCGCTTGATAGCGCCTCTGACTGGCGTTTGCCACTGTGGTATAGCCATGGAGAAGGAGAGTGCAAATGCTGCTCAACGGTGCAGTAGAGCGGAGAAGCTTGACTCATCGGATCCCGAAGTAGTTGCCCGGCAAAATAAATATACATGTGTCACATAATACGTATACCGTGTGTGTGTGCCATTGGAACAGCTGTAAGCACGATAATCAAGCTAATCCTAGACACTCTGGAAAGCTAAGAATAATCAGCTGAACCTTTGCTAACGCTACGTATATCCTGGCATAGCTGAGCTAAGCCACTGCCATTTTTTTTTTAGGGAATACAACAATGAACTTTTAAGCCAGTCGAAATGAGCGTTCCAGTCAAAAGTGTGAATTCGCGTCTTTCTTGCGTATAGTCCAAAGCCACTCAGCAATTTCTGAAAGGCGACCACTTTCATCACAGTGGATGAAATCTGGCTAATTTAGCAGGCGAAACCGAAGCCGGTACACCAATACCATCACTTCGGAAACGCCCCCCCATGGATGTTTCCCTCGAATCGGAAGAGGAGGATAAGCGATCGTCGGTAAAATGTCATGCGGCAGGAAAGCATTGCCACGAAACGAGGTATCTAGGTTGACAGTTAATAACGGCGAGGGAAACTGTGTCACCATTGAGGACGTTTTCGGAGTGAACGGTTGATTGATTGATTGATTTGTGGGGTTTAACGTCCCAAAACCACCATATGAATATGAGAGACGCCGTAGTGGAGGGCTCCGGAAATTTCGACCACCTGGGGTTCTTTAACGTGCACCCAAATCTGAGCACACGGGCCTACAACATTTCCACCTCCCTCGAAAATGCAGCCGCCGCAGCCGGGAATCGAACCCGTCGGAGTGAACGGTATTCGCTGCTGTTCGGTGCGTCCGTTCCTGTATGGTCTGCTAAATTAGTCAAATTTCATCGCTCCGCAGTAACTACCATCGACCGCCTTTCAGTAATTCAAAGTGGCTACCGTACTAAAATCGCAGGAAGGGCTTAAATTCGCCCATTTGACTCGACCACTTGACATTCTACTGGATAAAAAGTTTATTGTTTCAATATGTTGTATTTACTGTCCTAATGAACGTTTGCTACACATCTTATGATGACATCTGCCGCAGTAAAGATAACGCGCCACTGGTAGAATGCAGATACCTGCTTCCTGTATTTTTTTAATTATATGGGACACATCTCTTGAAACACCCTGTATATATGTTAACAACGCACAAGATTGGTCATGGAATGACATATACAAGACTTAATGATGTACAAGTTCATCCTCGATTGAAAAGGTGTTACAATTCACAAGACCAGAAAGGGACTTTAAAGCAATATTAAAGATTCGCAGTTTTTTTTTATTTTTACAGGCACAGTGTTCTAGTTTACATGCAAGGAATCACAGCAATTTTTCGCCGTAAACATTATAGTTGAAACAGTTGTTACAGGAAAAAAATATTCAAATTAAGGTGAATTCTTGTCTGGGGCTTAAGCACAAGGACGTTGAATATGGTGACGAGTAGCGGAAAGCTTGTGTGCAGTATTTCGTCAATTAGTAACAGCAACTACATAATTTTTGAGCGCGGTAGATGACAGAATGCGAAGTTCATTAAATATAATGTCATTAAAGTTGTGAGCGGGGAGAATGTTATTTTTAGAGCACGTCTTTGTTAGGCCTCATATCTTACGGCAATAAGAGAGACAATAGTAAGCAAGGAAAACAAAGCATATACAAAGAAGTAATAAAAAAATCGGCAGACCTGCGCGGAACGGGCAGCACAATCACTACAAAAGCTGAAAGAGCGGCCTTTTATGGCCTTCTTTGGAAAAAAAAAACACTCTTTTGGTAACTATACAAGCACACTTGCAGGGTACCCACAACGCCATTAATCATCATATTTTTTGTCTAGTAGGGAGGCATCCACTATTGCATCCTTCGTCATTCTTTGGAGAAGCGTGGTATCCCCTACACACTTGCAGGAGATATATAGAATAAAACATTTATTAGAAATTCCGCGTGAGTAGATCGCTGAGTGGTATGCTTAATTCGGGTTCCCTTTGGCGCGGGCCCCTCACACGTTTCACGAAGGCCTTTTGAGTCTTCGGATCCAAGCTGGACAGAGCTGCTTCCCACCCTTCAATGTTGTGTTGTGTCCTGGGTTGTGAAGGGATATTGTGTGGACATCCTCATACCATGTTCCATGTGGTACAGGGTGGCTGTCACACTGGCGCAAAACCTGCACTGCGGGGCGTGTGCGTCGGGATCTATCTTAGTACGTACGGATTGGCGTAGGACAGGGTATGCAGGTGACGCCACGCCATGTCTGGTTCCTCACTGAGGTTTGGCCCAGGGGGGTGGAAGTTTGTCTTTCTCGTGTCTTTGGTGTTGCAGAATTTCTGTATAGGCGAGAAGCGGGTACATACGCAGAGCCGAGGGTGGCTGCGATATGCCGAGGTCGGAGATCAGGAAGAGTAATTCTCGGGCGGAGGTATGGGCGAGCTCATTGCCCCTAACTCCGCAGGGGCGGGTACCCATATCAGCTGTTTCCATGTTCCCTATGAACGCGGGGCCGATAGCTGTGTAAGGATTCCTTGTGCAAATGGGCCAATGTAGCCTTTACAGAAATTTCGGTAGGGTGCTTGTGACTCTGTTATAATGAAGGTGGACTCGGGGTTTCGTAGGGCGGAGGCCATTCCTGCTTCTCCCATAATATAGTTTCGTCTGTATCCTGGGCTGATAAACAGTCGATCTGGTTTCCTTGACGATTGAGGCGTGCCGTGTATTTGCCGTTCACTGGTCCAGCTGCATCGACAAAGAAGGCGTCCGCAGTGTCTGAGTACTTGTCGAGCTTTGGCCCGTGCACATACGTCGATGTTGGTGGAACTGTGGATGCCTGATAGTCGCTTTATGGTAAAGTCCTGCCTCCGTCGCAAGGCGTTTTGTGAAGTTTTTCGTAGGCTACGGCTGACGACAATGAACAGTTATGCCTGAAGCAAGTAATGGGTCTGAATATTCGGTGACCCACTCGTTACGCAATTCGCATTGTGTGACACCTGGTTGTTCCTTTGCTGTCCTAAAACGCTTTATTATACTCATATTATCACGATTCCTTTCCCGACGTCTACCTTACCTGTAAGGCTAACTTGCAGCGGAGTTTCAAGCACCGGCATGACGGAGCGGTGGAATACTGGGCTGGCTCGCAGGGAACGCGAGTTCGAATCCCAATGTGCAGTATTAGATTCTTTACTTTGCCCGATAATTGTTGCGGACGGCGGACAACTACGGCGCACACGACTCCTAGTGCGATCTCACTGCAGCCTTTGCTGTAAAACAAGAGAAATATTGCCGGGAACGCGCCGGTGCATAACAGATAAACGTCAATTTTCTACACGCACTGTTGAATTTGTCTCTTCAATCCAAATGGTGGTCCAAACCCCTTCTAAGTATTCAGATGCGTCGATAATATCCAGAGATCGGTTTGCGAAAGTAGCACTAAAGCTCCTACACCGGACGTTCCAGAAGATGCATACATTCAGACTGGTCACACGTGATTTCATGAGCACCTCGTCGCGTGAGAGGCTCACGTCATGCAATGCTCACGAACATGCCAGAGCACTTTCTCGTATGATTTTGTGAAGTGCCACCTCGTGATAACTGCGCTGTTGTTTTTTGCAATGTAATCCACACTTCGTCCATATTATCGAGAGCTCACCCATACCAGTGTCTCATCCTCATAAGCTTATCTTGAACTGTCCAGCTGGTGGATTTCTTGGTGTCGGATTTCGCGTCGCATTTGCGTAAATGTCTGCTTCTGTGTATCGACGACATAACCCACACCGGGCAAATTTTCATTGCAGACTCGCTGGCGACATGGGAGCTCCGTCCGCACTGGTATCGGGCATGGAGAGTGCGATTCGATCCCTGGACCCTGCGCGGATGTTGCTCTTGGCGGAAAGGTTGATTCGCAAACTAGAATCCGCTGGCGTGGACCTTCGAGAACCCTGCAGCGACGTCCTTGGAGGGACCAAGTGCTGGCTGAGGTTACAGTTGCCTGCCGTGAACGAAGTCCTCTGGAAGGTCTGCATGCAAATTGTGGAACATGCACCCGGCGCGTTGACACTCTCCCATACAGAAACCATCGACCTCGACACGATACGCGCAGACACGTCCTTCATGGACGGCGCCATCCTGCTGTACAGTTTGCTTGAGCGCCACGTGTGCATCAAGCGACTTATTCTGGGCACCATGGCGTTTCCGTTGTGGAACTTTCCGTCGCTGCTAGGCAGCGCACTGCGCGTCAACCGAGGCATCGTGGAGGTTGAAGGACACCCCAACGACAAGGCTGTGCATTGGCGAGAAATGCGTCCATACAGAGCCCTGCCCTGCGCTCTCGGCAGCGGGTCGCAGAGGCTCAGTTGCTTGAATGTCACGTCGCTCAAACTTGACCGCGTCGCAGCTGAGAGCATCGCCGATGGAATAACAAAAAGCAACCTTCAGCGCCTGCACCTCTTCAATGAAATGTCGGCCACCGTTGCACGGAAACTGCTGTCTGCCGTCAGTTCCTGCCGTAGCCTCACCTCGCTAGAGTTCGCCGGTAGCAGGGAGTTCTCGCTACCCAGCGCGAAGCGCTCGCCACCGCCCTGAAGTGCAACAGGACGCTGCGAAAACTGCGCGTGAGTTACATGGCTGTTGACGCGCTCGGCGTCATCCTCGCGTCTCTCAAGCACAACCAATCACTGCAGGAGCTTTCGCTGGACGGTTCGGTTGACTTCTTGCGTGAAACACTGTGGGACGGCCTTCAAGCCCTGCGGGACAACAGGGCGCTCAAACGACTCGAAATTAAGGACTGCCACTTTTCGAACAGCTGTGCAATTGTTATGGCTCAAGTGCTGAGGCATAACAGTGCCCTCGAAGAACTTTCGCTTTACATGAACTCTTTCAGTGATCTCGGAGCGCGAGCGCTTGCTAAGACCCTTCAGGAGAGCTCTTCCTTGAAGCGTCTCGACGTCTCGTACTGCCGGCTGACTAGCAACGTCGTGCCAAGGTTCGTAGAGACAGTTTCTCGAAATAGTGCGGTCGAGCGTGTGCGCCTCGGATACCTTGACACTCCGGAAGACTGGACACCGACGGTTCCACTGAGAGAAAGTGTCTGCTCTCGCTTGGAGGTCACGTGGAACACTTTAGCGCTTGAACAGTGGGCGAACTAGTTTGCAGAGCGAGGGCTTCCGCTGCCACAAGGCATGGCTTGGGTGGACGAAAGATGCCAGTAGCTCCGGCATCGTGCAGTGGTTCTCCGCCGCTCGAGTGAACAGTGCAGCGCTCGCGGAACTGACCATCGAATGTCCTTTCCGCAGTGGCCGCCGAGACCACCGAAGCGGTCGTCTCCTTTTTAGAAACGACGCACTTCGCTCAAAAAGCTCATCTTGCGTCCCATCGAGCAGGACTACGTGTTCTCAACTGCTGTCTTGAGCAGCCTAGCCCGCAACAAGAGTATCTGCGAGGCCGAATTTCTCCAGACTCTCCGAACTCCGGGAGAGATTAAGGCTCTCCAAGCGGTGCTGCTAGTCAATCGAAGCTTGCACCGCCTCAAGTTCAGTTACGATAATCTTCCCAGCAAGGCGCCGGCTATGCTTGCCCGTGCTCTGGAGAACAACTTTGTGTTCCTGACGCTGGAATTCGAATACCAGCACACGGAGACCGACATGCACCCGGTAGTGAAGGCGCTCAACAGGAACCGATCACTTCTGAACAGAGCGGTCGAATGTGTCTTGGACGCTGCTAGGGATGAACAGTCGACGCGAGCTCTTCGTCTTCTCTCCGCCACCGACTCGCTTCTGGACGCTGTCAGCGTGGCTTCGGGAAAAGTGCGTGATGAGTGTCGATGTTTGGTGCTTGAGGCAGTGCGCAGCCTCAACTGTCACTATTCGGAATGCATATACAAGAGTTGTCAAGACCGAAACGATCGCGATAACTTAAAGAAGCCCTGCAACACTTCTTGAGCATGGTCAGAAAACGGTTGCCGATCGGTGGACAAGGCTCCCGAGAACACGCGAGCCAAATAATATTGCGCAACGCAGCCTGGAATTTCGCAATAAAATCTGAAAGTCGGTAAAAAATCGCTTTCTCTTCTCTCGATAAATTATGCTATATACTCGGAAAGTTGCTAGCGTCATAGGCCCAAATGTCACGCCATTGGCCGATTTGAGCAAGGCCCGCTCGACAGTTGCTGGGACCGCCGCTTGAGGTCGCGACATTACGCAGGTGCCGCGTGAACGCACTGAAAAAGCTGCGCATTCGAAAAAAAAAAGTTCTTGAAGTCACGAGGTGCGCGTGACGTGCCCTCGCCACCCATGTCATCTCTCCATGCTTAGCTTTCCAGCGTTTTCGTCGTGACGAGAGCAATTGCAGCGTGCGACAAATCTTTTGAACTCAGCTCGCGCAATACGGATTTTAAATATTTTTTGCGTCGGTCAGTTCGTGTACAATAAGTTCCTTTACTGAATCCATTCCATGGCTATACTTGATAAAGTGTTGCAGGACTCCGTAAGATTAGCTTGGCATTGTGTAACTCTGAGCACAGCGTGTTCACACAGGGTGATTGTATCCATTGGACCTGTGTGGTGTTAAAGTGTGCATTCATTATTCATTTACGCCCGTAGAACGCCCTATCGGCCTCTTTTATTGGGCAATTAAACAATGCATAAAAAACAATGTACAGTGGAAAATGTATGGACCAAGTACTAAACATTTAGTAAACAAGGCACAGCTATAAAACATAAAGGCTGAAAAGAAATACCACAACCTCGGTGGTGCACTTTACTGTGAGGCAGATCAAATGAATCACTGTAATTAACGTTGCTTAATCACTGAAAATAAAAACGCTTTTTTAATTACTGTATCCCACGATTATTTTCGGCTGTATCGCTTCACTTCGCGTGTCTTGATGAGTCACGCAAAGTGAGGATCAAACGAGGAGCATTACTAGACTAAGGTCGCTCTCATCTTTGATCGCAAAGTCACTGACGCAGGGTTTTGAAGTGATCATGATCATCATCATCATCAGCCTGACTACGTCCACTGCAGGACAAAGGCCTCTCCCATGTTCCGCCAGTTAACCCGGTCCTGTGCTTGCTGCTGCTAATTTATACCCGCAGACTTCTTAATCTCACCTGCCCACCTAACCTTCTGTCTCCCCCATAACCCGCTTGCCTTTTCTGGGAATCCAATTAGTTACCCTTAACGATCAGCGCTTATCCTGTCTACGTGCTACATTCCCGGCCCATGTCCATTTCTTCTTCTTGATTTCAGCTACGATATCCTTAACCCCCGATAGCGATACTAAACAGCAAAACTATTTTTCTCGTATGTGTGAATTGCTCTTCCACAGTGCCCAAAGCACAACGCCTGTGACGAAAAGAGGCTTTGTAAGTGAGAGAGTCAGAGATAACATCTCCAAGTATGAATGAATTCTGTGGAGCACGCCAAAATCACAATTTATACATTTTGTAATCTGTGACGCCACGCGTAAAAATTTCGACGTGAAATTTTAAAATGAAACTATGATGGTAAAACTAACTCCAAAATTACCAGACACCGATTTGTCTTTAGTGTCCTTTTAAGGGGACCAACACGTAGTGGTTATTGGGTCTCTATTAAGGTAATTAATAATAGCGATCTTAATTGTTTTGTTGGCTGTCCTGAACGGAGGATAAAAATAACCTTTGCCGCTGGAACAATATACATCCAGGTCATCTATACACGTTGTCCGCGAGCAATGTACATATATATATATATATATATATATATATATATATATATATATATATATATATATATATATATATATATATATATATATATATATATATATATAACAGACAGTAATGCCAAGGAATGTACAGGGGAAGTTATTAAAATCAATGGAATGTAAATAAGAAGAAAGAAAAGTGGATGAAAAAATTACCAACTGTGAGCAGGAATCAAACCTACGACCTTCGAATTACGCATTACGTAATGCATTCGAATTACGTAGGTTCGATTCCTGCTCACAGTTGGTAATTTTTTCATCCACTTTTCTTTCTTCTTATTTACATTCCATTGATTTTAATAACTTCCCCTGTACATTCCTTGGCATTACTGTCTGTTATATCTCATTAATATTGTGTTAAAAACACGGAAAAACGAGCCCTTAGGTATACACTTCTTTCCCTTATATATATATATATATATATATATATATATATATATATATATATATATATATATATATATATATATATATATATATATATATATATATATGCGCAGATCGCTCGAAGAATTTGTTTGCTTAGTTACATTGTAAAAGTTTACCTAACATGTTTTCAGAAATTACGAAACATGAAAAATGGGGACCGTAAAAAGTAGCGGCCAATTTGATGTTCCGCGCTTTGCGCTGATAACGGCATGTTAAAAAATCTATACACCGCCGACGTTCCAGTGTTCGTTGATAGTAATTGGTAGATCTAGAATGGGCATATCCAAACTGCTTAGCTTGCGTTAAAGCTCAAAAAGTCACAGCTTTGCCGCAAAGGCGAAGAAATGAACACGACAGCCACAAATTGGAAGGTCACGCGGAGAATGGAAAGCAGGTCGAAACGTGCCCCGCGTTTTTCACGCGCATATGGCGCACGAAACGTACTCACAGGTACTGATGCGCGCGAATAAGCGTCTCAGTTGTTACTTCAATGTGTCTGAAAAGCGCGATTTTCGCAAACGAAGACTTCAATGACTGCAGTGACCTTTGTTCGCCCGGTAACTACAACAGAATCGTTGCAGGTAAAGCCCGACGCCAGCCAAGACGTACGATCCTCCCCGCGAGATAAGGGCGCGCGAGGGCGCCTCGCATCCCTGCTCTAAGCGGAGCGAAGTACGCTTGGAAGATAAGAACGCGATCCGCCGCGCAATGTGGCGACGCGCGCTAATTGCGCAATCTTGCTGGAAATGCTGACAACACGATAATTCCCCCCTCCTTCCAGAGTCCCGTCAGCAGAGGTAAGTGGAAGATATAAATAGCTTGCCGCTTGAACGTTGAAGGACGTGCTCCTCGGTGGCTTAGTGGTTAACGCCTCTCATTTACAACGCACAGGTCCCACGTTCAAATTCGCGCGCTGAAGTATTTTTCTGGATTTTTTCTACCTAGCCCTTTCACACACACACACACACACACACACACACACACACATATATATATATATATATATATATATATATATATATATATATATATATATATATATATATATATATATATATATGTATATATATATATATATATATATATTTACGGTGGGTAACGGCGACACCGAGGGCAGAGAGTGTCTATATAATTGCTTTGCAATAAAACTCAACTGCTAAGCCACTCCTAACTTCAAGCACGGTCAAGTATCAAGGGATATGAAACTCTCGGGGTTTTTTTAGAACCTTTTTTTTCAACACTATCCAATACTAAATCCGGTGTGAGTACATTAACTTGTGACCAGCTGTAATAGCCAAGAGATCGATTAGTGTGTTCAGTAAATGAACGTTTAACTCCGGAATGTGATTTTTGTAGACTTCCATTTAGTTGGCTCTATAAAAAACCGTCTGACGCTCCATCCAAATTGAATCAGCGATGCTCAAGTATTCCAGTCTTTATTTACAACTGTCATTGCACTATTGCACTATTGCTAGGTTGTAGGTACTGTCATAATATTTTTTGTATTTCATCTTCACATACTGTAACTCACTTTTCTAGTATGTATTTTGCTTACATGTTCATAAGTTGAACTGCATTTCCTATTATATTCAATATTTGCCTATGTATGTGTAGATATATTTGTATATATAATTTCTAAACATATTATCTGTACCGCCCCCTTTACACAATGCCCCTCGAGGGCTCTGTAAGGTACTGTAGATAAATAAATAGATAAATAGCTATCTATATCTGGTTGTTATGTATTTCGCGTTATAATTTTTGTTCTTCCGTCAAGTTTACTAACGCGTCCGATGCTCCACAAACTGGGCTGCCACAACTGCTATCCTCCCGGCCACTTTATGGGGCATTCATGTGCATTGAACGTGGAAACATCAGTCGGCGCCGCCACAAGTCATGACAGCGAGTGTGGAACACCCTTTATCTGCCTGTTTGACTGCCAAATTCCATTTGCCCGCTTCATTGGTCGTCCTCGTGGGCCCGCAGACGAGCCTCCTTGAGGGGTTTGTTATGTTAATACATTCCTGTTTTATCTATCGTCTTTCTCTTCAAATAGACCAAATTTTTCCTTTTATTAAAGAATTCTGTTTAAAAACTATACGCCCCGCCGCGGTGGTCTAGTGGCTAAGTATACTCGGCTGCTGACCCGCAGGTCGCGGGTTCGTATCTCGGCTGCGGCGGCGGCATTTCTGATGCAGGCGGAAACGTTCTAGGCCTGTGTGCTCAGATTTGGGTGCACGTTAAGAAACCCCAGGTGGTCGAAATTTCCGGAGCCCTCCACTACGGCGTCTCACGTAATCATATGGTAGTTTTGGGACGGTAAACCCCACATTCTAATTAATTATTTATTTAAACACTATACGGTTTTTGGCCAATCTCCAAGCGTAGGTGTGTGTCATAGATTAAAGGGTATTCTCTACTTTAAATAGACCACCATTACTATAACCTGGTTCTCTATAATGGGTCGGTGTCACTGTTGACAAGGAAGCTCGCCCGTCGCGCTCCAGCTCGAGGCGCAGAACGATTCTTGGTCGCCCTTCACGGTGCAGGTCAGTATTCTGTTCCATATGACAGCGGTGAGCTGCAGCAGTGGACTACTTGACGTAATACCCTTCCCAGTAATGCCTAGCAACTACCCAAGCATGACCTTATAGCGGCTTAATTGAGCGGCATTTTACATTCTTTGAAAACCGGCTTTCCAAGAGCGGAATATGGAAAAAATGCAGGCTAACTGTTCGTTAATGTTGACTCTTTGACATTAATATTAAACGGAGCGTTGCCAAAAACTTTCTCAGGGCAAGGTGAGGTGTTCAACCAGCCTACACATATGCATGCTCTTACGCGTGTTTTTTTTTCTCTCTCTCTCCCTCTCTCTCTCTCTCATACAGTGTGTGTGTGTATGTGTGTGTGTGTGTGTGTGTGTGTGTGTGTGTGTGTGTGTGTGTGTGTGTGTGTGTGTGTGTGTGTGTGTGTGTGTGTGTGTGTGTGTGTGAGAGAGAGAGAGAGAGAGAGAGAGATTTCCACTCACTGTTATGCTCAAACTTAAGTGTGACCAATATCGTTTTTCTCGCTTCTATACCTCGCCAGCAGACTGCGTTACAACTGAAACCCCTGTTTTAGTGAAAGCCATTTCTAAACACTGGTAAGTATTGCACGTCTCCACGAGATGCAAAATTTTCTCAGCAGACAACTGCACCACGTATATGTGTACGTCACGCTTGAATGCCTTCTGACATTATTTTTTTCTTCGTGCATAGAAAATGTCTGAGGAAAGTAAGTAAACATCCTCTATACCATGCCCCATTTTTAACCAAGGTACTGACAATCTCAATTGATTGATTTGATTAATTGATTGATTGATATGTGGATTTTAACGTCTCAAAACCACCATATGACTATGAGAGACGGCGTAGTGGAGGGCTCCGGAAATTTTGACCACCTGAGGTTCTTTAACATGCACCCAAATCTGAGCACACGGGCCTACGACATTTCCGCCTCCATCGGAAATGCAGCTGCTGCAGCCGGGATTTCGATCCCGCGACCTGCGTGTCAGCAGTCGAGTACCTTAGCCACTAGACCACCGCGGCGGGGCAATTACTGACAATCTCGACACAAACATCGTAATGTCTTGTGATATCTCGCAATGTACCACCAGGTGTCTCCACATTTCGCGATATCATGCCATATCTTGTCAGCTGTAAGCTTCACCTAAAGGAGGAGGAAGAAGAGCAATGACAGGCAGAGAGGTCAATCAGACCCACGTCCGGTTGCTACCCTGTACTGTGGTGAATAGATTAAGGGAGTGAATGAAAGGACGAAAGAATACAGAAGGAGGCACTGCCAAGTTACATTTGCGCCTGTCCATTGCACGTCTACAAGCCGTCGCTTAACCCGGTTGTGTTTAAATAAAATTTCGGCAGATCCCACGTACCTGGGAATCGACGTTATGTGAAGCATGCGGACGGAAGGTGACCATGTTGTAATTTCTTTTATTGAGCGACACGTCATGAAATGACGCTAAATATATGTACAAATGTTGCACGCACAGGCACGGAGTTGCATATGTTATACAACCAGCTATTTGCACTTGCTCAACTGATGCCAACAGGGAACGTGATTATTGGACATCAGAAGCGATACGATGACATGAAGCGTTGGTGCTCGCGGGGATGGTTGCCCTGGACACTGCTACATAAATCAACTTCAGCGCGGGGCACCTAACTATTGTCACGGGGTCGTGACGTGGCCGAAAACAGGAGACTTCGTGTTGGGATTTAACTGTTTATTTGGGCGAACCTGTGCCCGGTAAACGGAAAGTCCAATTACAGCAGCAGTCTCGCACAGATAGCAGTCTCGGACTGATAGCGGCGAACGGAGCGTCGGCCTTCGATCAACAACTGACAAGCGGCGAAGCGCGTCGGCATTTATACTCTTGCCGTCGAATGTTCTAGCGTTATCACTGGCGGTGGCGTAGGTTCCAGAACAATCTGTACCGTTCGCACAGTGGGCGTGATCTTATCGAAATGATCTACTACAGTCCGGAACCTTCTCGAAAACTGCAGGCGCGGTTTGCTCTGAGAATCGTGTGATGTTTTGGGACGATAACAAAAACTTGGGAAATGGAACGTGGCACTATGATTGACGGTAACCCGACGTGACCGCTGCATCACATGAGTAGATATGTAACATTTATAAAATCATATAGCCAGCACTGCAACCACTGATGACGTTTCACGAACATCGGGGTCTGTTTAAAAAGTAGTCCCAAGACCTGGCGTTGCTCTGCGGTAGAATGCTTGGTTGCAACGCAGAATTGTTGCGTTCGATTCCTCCTGGTACCCTGAGATTTATTCTTTGCATTTGTCGATCCAGCGCTGCCAATGTGAGGTTTTTCTTAACGTTTGCACGTTGAAATTTCCCATGCGTGTTCTGGGTAAATTAATAAGTGTCAATCACCGGTGGCACTTACCCACCTGTGGATATTTGCCGCTGCCTGGCGGGAAGTGTTTCACGACGTACGCGATGGGACTGTGACATTGTTCATGTCTTGAGCAGCGCGTTATATTCATCAAAGCACCTTACCCTCCTATACTAATTTTGGTTCACGCTAAGTGAAATAAAAGGGTGATCACGAGAGTACCCAGTCGTACGTGGGTGGATGGATGGATAGATAGATAGATAGATAGATAAATAGATAGATAGATAGATAGATAGATAGATAGATAGATAGATAGATAGATAGATAGATAGATAGATAGATAGATAGATAGATAGATAGATAGATAGATAGATAGATAGATAGATAGATAGATAGATAGATAGATAGATAGATAGATAGATAGATAGATAGATAGATAGATACCAAAAGTGCTTGCAGTACGCAAAAAAATGCTTCGAATTTAAAAAGTCATAATAATACTGGCATCGCTGTACCCAACAAAACGAACTCCCAGGAGTGCTGCCTTAATATTAACATTGTATGAAACGAGTTGAAAACTACACATCACTCTACAAGTTTCAACTGTGGCTGAGGTCTAAGAGGTTAGGTATCTTCAGCACAATGTACATATTTATACAGAATGCACTTAGCGCACTGAACGAATGCTAATGGTGTGCCGTGTTTCGCGTACTTTGGTTGTCTCTGTGTATTCGAGGCCATATTTTTTCGGCTATGCAAGTTAACCACCGTTTACAGCTACAGAAACTTAAATGTCTTGTTTCCTGATCAAATTTAATATTTTCAACACAATGTCGAATTCTCGCTTTTGATATTTCAGGCGGGTTTATGGCTAGTGGT